CCTCTAACTTCACGACTAGAACATCGACCTCAGAATCAGGATCGAATCTGATCGGACGTCGCCCTTCGTATAAAACACGGTGTTTTGTTATGCCCTTTTGGAGGCTATATTTACACGGAATGGCTTGCTCTAAAACGTCGAAATCACGGTCGGGAGGTCACGGGTTCGTGTCGATTCGTAACTCGCTAATTCTGTTCTTATCTCTTCCAGTAAATGGCTACCATTCAATGAAAAGGGAGCAGAAGGCTACATGCTATCGTGGTCAGCCGGCTGTAGATGAAGCCTGAAAAAAACGGCCATTCACTTCTGACAGATGAGACGAGCTTAGCGTTCGACGGAGCATAATTTCCATGAATGAATGAGTGCGGCCATAAATGGTACTAAATCATGGTCATGTAACAGAGAAGACGTTTCAACCGTCAAACCTTGCGTTTCTTTTCCTCAATACCTTTCCTCGTTGATTGTCAGGAGCATTTTTCGCTTAGTCACTTTTACCTGAGTAAATCCACCACTGTTTTGTTGGCACTGCCTCGTTGGCCGACTGTTTTATGATTCATGGAAACAGAATTACCGCAACAGTGACAAAAAATACTTTACACAGAACGGTGAAGTATCTGCCCAAATATGAAAGGACCAGTCTCATAACTTGAGTATTTGGTACGTAATCTCTTAATATATGCCTGATTCTTATAGTCAGCACTCACAATGGTTTTATGTTGTCCTCATTATTTAGTGGTTGCCAGTTTCTAATGCTCATTGATGAACTTCATTTCATTGACAAGTTGGTGGGATATTTTCTAATAATTAATAATTCTGGGCCAGACAAGCTCTTGGCGACAGTATTCTCGATTCTGTGTCCGGTTATCAATTCATTCCTGTGATATGAAACATAAAGAAATTTATTTCATAATTGTCTTATACCGTGACTCGGGATAAATTTGGGGGATACTGAAACTAATGATGCGTATGATTATCAACCTTGTTCGATTCACCACTGGATGAGAGCTTCGCTGAGACTTTGCCTCTGTAACCTCTGTATTGCGTAGTTTTTTGTCCATCTTGATTCAGCTTATCCTGTCATCCATCAGGAGCAGTTCGTACAGGTTGTTCGTTCGTTCGTTGTCTCTTGAAACGCGGTCAAACGTGTCTCTGGTCCACCGATGGTTGGTCCTTGCAATGAATGCTTCCTCCTCATTACCTCTTTAACTTCTTAACTTGGGCAATGAATTCTCTGACTCTTGTTTATGCTGCTACCCATTTAAGATAGTTTGTCTTCCTATGTTTTCCTGCTATTCCAAGCATACGTCTGTCCCAGTGCTTTGCGCAGTCTGAAATTAGCCTACATTTTGCATATGTAGATTTGCACGGGGGCACACACTGACAAACAGAAATATTCCCGTTTCAAGCACCAGAGCAGTTTTTCGGGTAAGAACATTCTGAATCTTCCAAAAAATGGTCCATGCCGTTTTCATTCTTCGGTTGCAGAAACGAGCTGTCATTGATAGACATAGCTTCGCACTTCTTCAAGTCTCAGTCCTTTGACTTAAACAGGTCGCACGGTCATGTATTTATTAAATATAACCTGATTATTCTTCAAGTTCTTGTCCGGTCTTACTTTTATTCCGGCTTCGTTTAGCTCTTGGAGTTTTCGTTTGAGTTTTTCTGGTAACCTTCGCACCTTCCGCAAACTGCAGGTGGCTTATGCCGACTGCACTTCATCTTTGTACGAATGATTTCCCTGATGTTCCCAATGGAGTATCATAAAAGTTCTTCTAGAACTGCTGTACTTAACGGTCAGACGCCAGTTTCCATTCTGAACTTCCCTTTGCATTCATAGAGCCTTATATTACGCGTTGCATTTTTTTAAATTATGATGATGAAATTTCTGTATCATTCCTCGATTCCTTGCCTCCTCAAATAATCCAGTACAGAACTGATGTGGACCGAGTTGAAAGCCTTCTCCAAGTCGACGAACCCCACGCAAAAGGGAAGCTGATATTTGTTGCTTGCCTGGGTTACCTGCTGTACCACCTGGAGATGATCCCTTTCTGAATCCTGCGTGCACAGGATTGATTGTTCAGCGTCGCCTGTAAACCGTTCTGTACTTTCGTGAAGACGTTGTCACCGTGTTATGTGGTTGAGCTGTTTATCAGTGATATTATTTTCACCCTTACCGTTCATCGTCCGGATCGCCATTTCCAAATATTATGTATACATATGCTTACGTAGCATATATGTGTATGCATAGCAACATCATCGTGATTTGTTTAAGTACAATATTCAGCTGTCTCTCCCTCAACTGAGACTGTCACTTATGCGCTGTCGCACTGTACTAATTGCCGTTGATCATCCAGCAATTGCCATAGATAAAAGAATCGGCATCGTTACTTGTATTTCCTGGCTGATCAAGGTGCACAGCAAACAAAGGAATATTCGGTTGTCTCTCTTTCTACTCATTTGCGTTGATGATGTCGCTGCATACGTAGTTTTCTAATAGTTTTTCACTGTTTTGGTGTATTGATAATTTATCAATATTAATATTAGTATTTTATTTTATCAATTATAAAATTAATTGTCAGAGTAATATTGATATCCGCACAGAATTAACACTATTCTTCCTGATCCACGGTATGAGACATTAAGAAGTAAATTTATTTTCGTGTCCAATATCGATAAAAGAACGATAAATTCTGAGGAGACACTAATAGTTCTCTAAAATGACTGAGAACATGCAGTGCTAGATGAATCTTGCATCATTTTATTCGCTACAGCTTTCAGGTGGTTGAACATGAGGTTGCGAAGAAAATGGTCTGGTATTACTGGTGCTCAAGTACTTTGGAGTTTAATTTGCCAGT